GGCGTTGTCAAATGGTTAAACAGATATTATTTATCAGTCATCCATTACCCGCGTTAGCCATATTTTGTGACACATGCGTTTTTGCCTTGTTTAACTACTTATTTAATTTAATTTATTTCAATGGTTCTATTTTAAGCCTGATTTTCATTTCATTTTCATCTTCCATCGCCGCTTCTAGTTTCGGGTCGCGCAGGCAGACACATCAGAGAGAGCTTCCAACGTTCTCGATCTTGTGCCAGAGTCTGAACTTCGACAAAAAAACAAATGGAGTCTGGAATAGATTCCTTCCATATGTTTCCACCAGTTTAATCTTGGCCGTCCCGAGGGTCTTGTGCCTGTCGGCTTCGCAAAAAACAGTTCCTTTGCCTTCCATTCTGGAGGCATTTGCAACACATGCCCACACCATCGCTGCCAAGACTTCTAAATCATGAGAAACAGCGGCTGTAAACCAAGGCTCTTCCGGATGTCACTATTCCGGATCATGTCGAGACGCGTAAGGCTAGCGAATCGTCTAAGAAAGCCCATTTCAGCAACTGGTACCTGGGTTCGAAGATGGTCCACGATTCATGACCGTAAGTAAGCATGAGGATAAAGATCGACTTGAATATTGAGAGCTTAGTTTTCAGACTGAGCTCTGCTTTAGTCACAATTGGTCGGGCTAGTTTTCAAAAGCTGTGAATACAGCGGTGATACAAAGCGGGAGATGTTTAGCAACTAGAACAAACTAGGCAGTATTATAACCGCTCACAAACGCTGCGGTAAAGGACACATTTTATACCGAAATTGAAAGAAGCGATCTCAGCAAGGCCTGGTACATTCATTATGATCACAAAGAATTTATTTGCTTTAAACGACTCAGCAGCTTGTCTAATTATCTTAATTTTCTCTGATATTCTTATTTTTTCTTCTTTCTTCACTGTTAGACGCTCACCTTCAAAAAAAAAGGTAGGGGCAGACTAGCTCGCGCAGAACGCCACTGGCTACTCCAATTCGCCAGTCGATCTCTTCCTCCAACTTTCCATCACTAGCAAATACAATTCT